TATATATATATATATATACATACATATGTGTATTGGATGGGAAATGCTGTCAAGACAGAGTTTGGAAACATAAAAGCCTTTAATATTAGTTGATCAGATTGAAACTTTGAGAAGTGGTTTCTATCTAAAAGCCATCAAAAGGGACTGAAAGGGAGCCTCACATATCAGAGTGCAGCTTTTATACTCAAACTTGGAATAAAGACAAGGAGTGAAAACATCAGGAATGTGAAAATATTCATATTTACTAAGGATGTTCCTCTGCCTACTCACATCACGTCTGGACTTTGTCGGTGTTTTGCTTTGAGGATGTGGTGGAATATTGTGTGTAGTGGACTTTTTTAAAAGGCATTTTAAACCCTATCAGATATTTTGAAGCATTAAACACCTTTTTACAGGTTCATCTGTTCAGGCAGCTGGTTCAAAAGTTCTGCCAAATTCTGTGGCTACACATTCTTTTTAATTGTTCTGATTAATACAGTTAATTCACTTTAATGAACACTGCTCACAAACTTCTTCCACACCCAAGATGTTGGCAGCTGTCAGTCAGTCATCAAAGCGCACACCCCAAAACTAACAATACATATTCTGATTGGTCAGATGTGAGCCTGCGTCAGTTACTATTAGTTTGGATCAATCAGAGGCAACAAAGATGGCACTGTAATGACTGACAGGAGAGACTGAGCTCTGAACACACCCGCAGGAATAAAAACTAAATAAAACATTTAAAAAAACAGGTGGATTTTTCTCATTTCCCTCAGCTGCCCACAGGCCGCTCCTGTCTATTTGTTTTTCCAGCATGAGGAATGTTGTGTATCGTGTGAAGACAAGAAAATGTGTGTGTCTCATGCTCATTGTGTGAAGCTTGAGAGCTCTGAAAACTTAGATACTTTATACTTTTTTCACAGTTTTTTTTCAGCGACTACACATTGTGCCAATTACACAAAAATGTGGCCACATCTCATCGAGAAAACTTCACATTTCAAAGATTCAGGCTCAAGTTCTGACGTAGTTCAATAACATTCACAAGTCCTCAAGCTGAATGGGTTTCATCTAAAAGCATTTATAAGTGATTTTCTGAATTGTTTTTGTTCTTAAATCAACATATATAACTTGTATCAAGCTTTACCTCCCATTTCCTGCTCATTTCTCAGCTCTGGTTCAGAACAAGAACACCAACAAAGAAGAAGTCAAAAATAAGGGCATTCATTAAGGCGGTTTCAGTATAGTGCCACGTAGTAGCAAAAACAAGAATTGCACTTTTAAAAACTTTTTTACAAACAGTCATTACATTACATCAATAAAGGGAAATAAATTGATGGGGTTACACCTGGTTAAACAACAGTAAATAAAAAGAAATAACATTAATTGGGTCATAAATATGCGGTTAGGTTTCCTGCTGTACAAACTTGTATGCCAATGAGTCAGCCCACACAATGATATTGTTAGTCAAGTATTTTTGGTCTTTTTATGCAGATGGCCGGGCTCTGGCAGTTGGTGGTATGGGTGCTGACCTCCTCCCTCGTAACATCCTGCAACAGTACGATATCAGGAAGGATATGTGGGCTCTTCTTCCTCCCATGCCAACCCCACGTTATGATGCTAACACACATCTTCTTGGCAACAAGCTCTACGTTGCTGGTACAACGCACCTGCTTCTGTTGGCTGAAGGTTTCACTCATTCTCAAAGTTTGGAATAATAGGTCTTATCTTTCTTGAAGGTGGCCGACAGTGTAAGCGACCAGTGAAGGCTTTTGAGGTATACGACACAGAAAGCCGCTCCTGGACTTCACTGCCCAGTCTGCCATGTAAACGCACATATGGGGGCGTTATATGGGACCCRTCTGCGAGGCTGTGTCTGTTGGGGGGACTGCGGCAAGGTGGAGGTCACCAAAACTCCAAATTCACCAAGAACATCAACATTTTTGATACCAACCAAGGTAAAGAAACTAATCCACACTTTTCCTAACAATCCATTTCTTCTTTATATTCTTTGTCCTTTTCTCTCTTTGTGTTTCCACCTGGTAAAAAAGTGTGACAGCATCACATCTTTACGTATCTGAACTTAATATTTGTAGTAGGGATGAGCATATTAGAGCAAAATACACTTTTCTAATTTATCAACAAATATTAATTTGCACTGTCCTGATTGCATCTCAATATTCCAGGTAGAAAAAAAACTAGGAAAAATTTAAGTAGGTTCTCTACATGTGTTCTTTTTTAATGAACGTTCTGTCTCTTCTCTAAGAGACTTCTTCAGTCTGAAGAGTTTCAGGTAAAATCAGCCTCATAAGCACTGCCTCCACATGGTGGACAAACAGGTTTAATGATCACAATCAAAACTGGTGTTCAAATGCAAGAGAAGACCATCAGCCAAACAATAGATGGTTAGTGTTTTGATAATCTCTATTTTTCATAGAGGGCCATGTGCACCATCAGCCTGACTATCGTTGCGGCCCTGATTACCACCTATTGTTCATGGGGTGCTGAGTCATACTTACAATAACAAGGGGACCACTGGACAAAGAGACATTCGTCTCTCTGTAATGATGGACAGTTTTTCTTCACAAAAATGGCTTATTTTACTCCTCTCTCAAACCAGTGTTCCTCTCTATCAATATGATAACATCTTCATCCCTGAAAGAGTGACTGCTGTTCTGAAGATGAGTGTAAACTGCAGAGTCCTGACCTGATGATGTTGGTTCACTGTGTTGGGCCATCCTTCAGAACAGCGACTGCTTTGTTTCCCTGGTGTATAACTGGTCACAGTCCACCTGCAATTTACAGTTTTTCTTGGTTGCTTTGATGCAGCAGTCCACTCAAACTCCACATTTTCACATCAGAGAACACATGGGCCTGAACAGTCACACTAATGGTCAAAGTCACACATTTTGTTTGCAGAAGGCTCTAATCGAGCCAAAACATTTAAAACAATGAAACAAAAGCAAATATTACCTCCAAACAACACAACTTACAACCAAGTGTGTGAGCTCTTCCCATTAGTCATTATATAATGGACACCAAAAGTATTTTCTGCTGTTTCTCTTTGATCCCACAGTAAAGTTGAACTTTTTCCTGTGTGGTAAACCAACACGTTCTCACTCCCTACTCATCATATGTATGATGKTTGGTCAGGCTCCCTAGACATCACTTATTAACGCAAAGGGTACTCCACTCACATCATAATTTGATGTACAGTGATGTATGTTTTGAAAAACAAAACATACAACAATCCATGCACAGCTGATACATTTGTGGTCTACATTTTTAACAATTTTGCTCATTTTGCAGTTCTAARGAGTGTGGAATTTTAATTATTCCTCCTAAAATGAGGGGATATTTTTCCATAAATTTTCATGATTTTAGGTGAAGGGGTGGCTGTGGCAGAGTGATTAGGGCAGTCGGCCTGGAACTGGTAGGTCACTGCTGGTAGTTCAATCCCCCGTAGTTGTTTTTTCACAGGTGTGAATTAAGTTTAGGTTCAGTTGTTGTGTCCTTGGGCAAGACACTTCACCCCCAATACACATTCATACACCCCATCAGTGTATGAATGTGATTGCCACTGATTAGTCTCCATAGATGATTGTACATGTTAGCTTTGTACATGTTAGCTTACCTAATAGAGTGCTGTGTGAATGGGTAAATGAGGACACAGATTGTAGTGCGAAGTGCTTTGAATGTCCTGGTTGGATAGAAAGGTTCTATATAAGGACAATCCATTTACCATGAAGTGTTTTTATACATCACGTTTTTAACCACCCACAGCTCCGCTGCCACTCTCCTAAAATTTTCTACTTATGATTTGTTCCCACAGGAGTAAGGAATACATCCAGCAAAATCCATCCACGTCTGTGTAGAATTAAGAACCGAAAGAAAAATCCAAATTTTAGATACTGCTTCTGCCTATTGGCAGGAGCTGCAGGAGCCAAATTTCAGGTGATCCTGCAGCTCCTGCCAGTGAAAAGTTATGTACTTAACTTTTTTGGATCGAAATTTGAAAAATATCAATATATTAGCGTTGTTAATATTACAAAACAATAAAATTCACTTAAAGGTAATATTTGAAGAACTAATGGACCTGCCGTAGGTGCATGTTTATTTCTCTAAACCAGTTTCTTTTATTTCTGACAAAAATAATATTTAAAAACATGTCCATACAAATGATAAAAGTATTAAAAATACTATCACTTGAAAGTTTTAATTTTTATATGACCATATTTTTATTTAAAARATATACTTTTCTCTCACTTTGTCCGCGATTACTAGAATTAAACTAGAAGCACTCTGAGAGTGCAAAGCTCCACCAAAGGAGAGATGGAAACACATTTGCCAAATTAGTTCTGARGTAGAGAAKATTTAAGCAGGCTTAATGCATGGGATTTCATTCAGGTGGAGTTCAATGCAAAAAAAAGTTCGAGACTCGTCACCCAACGTTAGTCATCAACAAACTGGTCCCGGATCAAGCTCCTAAGTTTTCATCAGTCAGATTCCCCCGTGTAAAACATCCGTTTTATCCCCTTTTTGTGAGTTTTTAATGGTTTGACTATCTTTATAAACTGCTGCTTCCTAGTACAGTTGGCTTAGCGTCTGAGCACTTTTAGCACAAACAAACACTCCAATGAACTTCTAACAAATCACACAATAAAMTTCTTATGTGGAGGGGCTGGTACCTGGTTGATGAGCTGTTCCCGCTGTTCGGTACCAGCTTCGGCTCGGCTGCAGCTGGACCCTCCCCCCGCWGTCAGCGTATTCTCAGTTATTCCCGTAACTTGAAGAGAATCACATTTCTTTTTCTATGTCTCCAGACAGCAGTAAAATCACCAATACTAGTTGATAACAGAATAATCCCAACTTTCCCGATGGTAGGCATCCTGAGAGGTMTAGTCCCAGCAACTTTGCGACTTCTACTTCCTGTTTACAGGCATGCGTCTGACGTAATAACACTTTGCGTAGCCTGTCTGATTCAGTTGAATTAAAAGATAAATTCCTGTATCCGCATCGTGATCCGGAACATCACCAAAATTTATTGGTGTGTTCCTTGGGCCAATACCTACATGTGGTAAAAATGTCATGACAATCCGTCCACAAGTTTTTACGTAATTTTGTCCACAGACCAACAGAATGACAAATAGACATACGCGACCAAAAACATCACCTACTCCCCTTGGCGGAGGTAAAAATCTCTGGTCGACCACAATGCTGTGGATGTGCTGGGCCGAGAAGGATRCATCAGACCAGTCCTTCAATTCAGGCCAAAGGAAGGACGCATTTGTCGGCTGTCGTGACGAATTTGGCCTTCAGAAGACCTGGACACTCATTTTGGATGCAGCCATTATGTGTTATGTTGTGTTTTCTGTTACCATGGTGACCTATCCAGGTTCAGACTCAGGCTCTTTTACCATGGTGACCTAACACATTGTAGTCAATCCCTCTGATAATCCACTGCATCTCGGTCAGTTTATGCATTTATTAAAAGTTTAAATCTTTTTTYAACTTTAATATGAGATACAAAACAACAGAAACATAAACCTTAACATTAAAAAGATGAGGGAGTCGCTGTTGACACTCTGTGTCCCTCAGTGCAACTGGGCTACTTGTTCCTCTGTCCAGCAAACAGCCCAGAGTAACAAGTGAAAAAACTGAGTCAGGAATGGAAGAAGAATTGGGAAAGAAAAATCAATAAGTCAATCCAGACAGCTGTGTATGTTGTCACACTGTTGGGTCGGCCCAATGGAAACCAGAGAAAGCAGAACATGAGAGTCTTAACGTTACTATGAGAAAATAGAACGAGAGATTGGCTTTGTGTGTGTGTGTGTGTGTGTGTGTGTGTGTGTGTGTGTGTGTGTGTGTGTGTGTGNGTGTGTGTGTGTGTGTGTGTGTGTGTGTGTGTTTGCAAAAAGAAGAAAAGAAAAGAGAAAAACATGCGGGTTTACAACCCACATATATAGAAGTGGCTGTATGCCATTTCTCCAATCTAAATTAGGTTGAGATGAGTTGGGAGATGAGCTGTTGAAGGAGGAATGGGGGAGAGGATGGCTTCAAATGACAAGATCCAGAAACATATTGCTTTATTAATAATCTGCTGCAATATGTTTCACAGTCATGCAGTCAGCTGTCAAACATTGATAATACTGTAGTTTACAGTTCCATCTCTGCAGTATTAAGGCACACATCTGCTAATGGATGTTGTCTAGGCCAGGGGTTCTCGTTGTTTTGGCATGGGGACCCCTTACAGGTGTGATAAATTTCCAGAGACTCCCTAATAAATCTCATGCTGATTTAAAGACAATTTACAGTTATTTTAACCCCCAAATGCCATAGGAATACTACTAAAAATTTTGTTTGGTTTAGTTACTGGTGCATCGTTCCCTATATACATTTATGCATTTTTTAAAATAAAAAACGAAATAATGATTTTTTATAGTTTATTTAGGGACCCCCAGGCTACTGCTCATAGACCCATGGGGGTCCTGGGATCCCCAGTTTGAGAATCTAGACTGATAAACCCATAAACCCCAAGATACAGCTAATCAAACAAAACTGACTGAAAAATGACACATTTTAGAAAAAAATTCTTTAAAACTTCWTTTTAACTTTTCAAAACTTTTCAATAACAGGCAGCTGCCTGTATATAAATACATAAACAATAGCTAATGAGTTTTATGTTTATTTAACTAATTGCAGTGTATTTTTTATTAATATAGCTACTTAATTTCTTTAAAAAAAATATCCAGCTCCACCTTAAAAGGGCTGTTAACAGCATGAATAAACATGTTGTACTTTATATCTAAACTAAAACTAAATAAACATTTGCTAACTAGTTTTACATTTCTTTACCAGCTGTCAGCTGATAGTTTATCACTGATGATTAAAACTGTGTTCTGGAGTTTCTGCTGCTTTTATAATGATTGTCTGCTTTTAAAATGAAAAACAAATGACC